CTAAGGAATTCGCAGTGTTTGCTTGCTGGCTTGGGGAGTTTAGATTCAGTCTGGCGAGATTGATGTCGGGTTCAGCCCAAAGGACTCCACGAGATGGTACAAATACAGTTCTATTGCATTTACTAACTTCCGCCTACAAGACAGAATCTCGCCAGACTGAATCTAAACTCCCCAAGCCAGCAAGCAAACACTGCAAATTCCTTAGGTGGTGCCAGCCTCATCCTCTTCACCTTCCCACGCTCTTTCTGCGGGCTAAGGAAATGCTTATCTCCCCGAGCGCGGCCTTCGCCATACCATTCCATCACACTACCTCTGAGCACCACCACCATTTCTTTTCCTCCTCGATGACAATATTTAGTTATTCATTCAGCTGCCAGGATTAATTACAACTCGGCTGGCGGGGACCAGAAGCAGGGCCTTCTCAGCAGCCGCCCCCACCTTCCGGATCGTTCTTCCTTGGGAGCTCAGGACGGCCCCGGCCCTGCTGGCCTTTTGTAAGGCTTTACAAACCTGGCCCCGTGCCCAAGCCTGGGGTCCCGAAAGTGTCAGGGGCCCCGTTACCGGGTGGCACTGTGGACTTTTCTGTAATTTTTCTGGTGATTCCCGGCTGCCTATTGGATTAATTTGTCACGGTTTTGATGGTTTTAAGGATTGTGAAATCGTTCGCCACCCAGCGTTGCTTGGATTGAGATGGGCGGCTATAGAAATTGCATGAATAAGTAAATAAAAATGGAAAGAAAGCAACCGAGAACGAGCAAGGGCAGATCACATCTGTTAAGAGGAGGCAAAGGCAAATGCAGACCGTGCGGCCGCTGGGCGTTGGATCGAGTGCGCGCGCTTGCAAATGCAATGAAGATGTCAGTGGGTTTATTGGGGGCTTCTCCCAATAAACTGAGAAACGGTTCTGGGCTAGATAAATTTTTGGTCCGCTTCGACTTCCTCTTGTCTGCGTTTTCAGCTGCAAGCACCTTTTCCTCACCCCCTCAAGACCCTGTTTTCCTCTTCCCTCTTTGCAGGCTTCCTCTCGTTCTACAATGCCAAAACCAAGCAGTTACTGCACACGTTTCGGGCCAAATTTACCCAACCGGTTCTTCCGGCCTTCATGGTAAGAAATCTGGAAGGTGTCGGGGAGAGGAAACTTGTGCGTTATGGTATCCGGTGAAGACTTTGGACATAGTATTTTCCTTTTTTTTTTTAAAAAAAAAAAGAAGGTTCTAGTCCTTAGGATGGCAGGGTTATTGCAGGAGAACAGGGAGGCAGAGACTGATTGATTTGCTCAAAGGAGATAAACTGATAGCATGGATCAAGGAAGTGAATTGCACT